TTCTCAATACTTTTTGATGGTTAGATGGCTGAAGGAAAAGTATCACAAAGATTTTCTTGAATTTAATAGGGGAGACAAACCACTTGATTTAATTGAGACAATTAAACATATACTTTGCTGTAATAATGCTATTTCTACAATAGGTTTACTGAAATTCAGAAACTATGTTTTAGTCACCTGTAATTCCATACCTGAAATACTGGAGATATCAATAGAGACTGGGGGAACTGATAATACAGTCTTTGGAGAGTAATCTGCTCATCATTTTAGACAAAGGAAGAATATGATAAATGTTTGTTCCTACTAAACATGTATTATGTTCTTCTTATGGTTCAAGAATGAAGTTATTTCTCCTCCATTCAGCCACTGTGCGAACAAATAAGGAAGGTTTGAAGTTTCTGTATTACATAGCCAAAAGTTTTCCTCCAGTTTTTCAAATACTTAATATGTACCTTTCTAAAAATATTATGGTAAAATAATCATTTTTTTAAATTCTAAATTTATCCGTAAGATTATTTAAAGTGTATTCCTATATGCAATTTAAAATTTCTCCCTCCAACCTCCTTCTCCCCAAAATGTAAGCTGCTTATTAAAATAAAAAAGTATATTGCCGAGACTGGTGTGGCTCAGTGGATAGAGCGTCGGCCTGCGGACTGAAAGGTCCCGGGTTCGATTCCGGTCGGGGGCATGTACCTTGGTTGCGGGCACGTCCCCGGTGGGGGGTGTGCAGGAGGCAGTTGATCAATGATTCTCTCTCATCGATGTTTCTGACTCTCTATCTATCTCTCTTCCTCTCTGTGAAAAATCAATAAAATATATATTTAAAAGTAAATAAATAAATAAATGAATAAATAAATAAAATAAAAAAAGTACAATATAACAAATAGATACTTGGGCTAGAGGAAAGGGATAGTAAACAGTGACAATGTCTATGTTGTACAAGAATCTGTAAAACTGAGGATTAGTAATTAAGACTTAATGAGTAACCAATAAGACCAGAAAAGTTTATGGTACTCTCAACAGTTCATAAATTCTTCCAGAGTATAAATATTATATATGACACACACCAAATTCCAATTTCGTCATCTATGAATAAGAGCACGACAGTCTTTTAAAAGCTGAACTGCAATGAGGAGGCAAAGCCTGCCCAGCGTTAAACACTGATTTATGCGTGGCACGGTTTAGATGAGACCCTGTCAGTGTCAGGTAGCAAGTACACAGACAGCAGGATGGCTGAAGAGCTCTGTGTCAGAGTTGGATGGAAGTCGCCGATTTATGAAGGCTGTCAAACCACGGGAATTTAAAGTGTAAAGAAAATTGATTTTTCATAAAGAAAATGATGGAAATTTTTATAAGTTCGCAGGCAATACCATTAGCTTAAAGGAACATGGTTCTTTCATTTTGTGAGAAAAACTAGCTTACTTATAAAAATATTTGTGGATTTTTACATTAGAGCTACATTTTAAGAATCCTGGTAAAGAAGTTCATTATACTAGTAACATTCAAATAAAAAATTTTCATGGGAAATATAATGGGAAGAGGAATTAAAATAAAGACAAAGACAGTACAAAGAAGCAGTTTGGGTTTTCTTCCATGAGGGATAATTTGGTACAGATACCCAAACCTCCCGATTTGGAAATTTCAACTAATAGTGACTGCTGTAATCCAGAATCAACAAGCATGACTTTGAGAAAGTAACACAGAGAGGCTGCCACTTCCACAGTCTTAAAGAAAAACTAAAGAAATGGGATTAAGAACTTGGGTGCCAGGAATTTCAATCATTTAATGACTGAACAAAGTGTTTATTGAGTAGCTACTATGTTCCTTACAATAACCCTATGAGATTGCATATTATTATTTTTTTTTTCAAGAAAACAAAACCGAGGTTAAAAAAAATATTATATATCTAGCCGAAACCAGTTTGGCTCAGTGGGTAGAGCATTGGTCTGCGGACTGAAAGGTCTCAGGTTCGATTCCAGTCAAGGGCATGTACATTGGTTGCAGGCACATCCCTGGTAGGGAGTGTACAGGAGGCAGCTGGTCCATGTTTCTCTCTCATCGATTTTTCTAACTCTCTGTCCCTTTCCCTTCCTCTCTGTGGAAAAGGAAAATCAATAAAATATATTTTTTAAAAACTATATATATATATATATATATATACACATCTTGCCCAGATTATACTGGACTCTAAAGTCCATGCTTTTTCCACACATCCCAATAAATGCAAAGGCTAAAGGAGAGAATCAGACTAATAATGTTAAACTCTTAAAAGGATTATGTGAACATAAAAATCAAGTGCTTTTCATCTCATTTACATATTAAATGGATCATAAAATTAATAACACAAAGTGGATATATCATTTAGATGCTATAGTTCTTACTGTAAAACACAAATTATCCACAATGCTATCCACCCTGAAATGGCTACACAATGAATAAGCAGCTATAAACTAAATGAATTAATGTTGAGAACACAGAAAAATGTTGGGTACAAAGTTAAGTAATAAAATGAGGTATTATTACTACTTCACAAATGTAAAGTTCTATTTTTTTGAAATGCCACATACAACATGTACCAGTTTTTCTTTTATTGGTTTGAGTCTAGCAGTTTGACTAGTTGTATCATTCCAGAAAGTGATAAGGGCTGAGAACCTAGCACACAACTCTAAACAAGCTTTTATGTGGCACTTTGCAAAGTGATTTTACAATGTAACACAAAAGCGAAGCTGAGAATCTGGTCAATTAGCAACATGTTCATTTTTCTTCCATTGAAGAAAGGAACCCAGAGGCAATCTTCTTTACTGAGACAACTCCTGCCAGTTTACCAAATGCAGTAATCTCCTTTATAAAACTCATCCTTGGTATCTACAACATGGAGAGTTAATTCCTCTGAGAACATGATTACTGAGAAGGAAAATATAACAAACTGGTAAAATTCACCAATACAAGTATTTTCCACCAGATTTTTAACATTATTACATATTCCAAGACTTAGATGAATACAAATAATTCCATTTTGTATAGTTAATTGGCAAGGCCCTACATTTACCTAAGAACATATAATATATTTTAAATAAGGGATGTTTATTCATAATGTGATAAACCTCATAGTATCTGTTTCTCTGTTTAATGAATGTTATCATATTCAGTGGCATAAACTTTGAGAGAGACTTTTCTTCTAAGCTGTCTTAATGAGAGTGTAAGTTGTTTAGGCTCCTTTTAAGGCCTTTATCACTATTTTGGCTTGGTAGCATTAAAAAGGGATTACATGCCTGTGAAGGGCCATCCTCTTCAATGACAGAACAAGAATCCATGGTCGCTGATAAGTTAACTCTATGATTGTAAAAGGGTATATATTCTTAACAGGATTACTTGGTTTCTTATTTAGATTTTTTTTAAATTCCGTTGCTAATGAGTGGTGGATAACTTTCTATAATTGTCATTCAACAATTATGATAAGCATTCAAAATTGTTTTCCTCACTTAAAGCTATGTCCGTGTTAGGAAAACATCTCTTTCTGAATGGGTTAATAGATGGACAAGTAAATAGATAGGTTAAGTCTTATGAGACCAAATAGCAGTTTAACATATTCATTCATTTATTATATCACCAGGCATGAAGATGGGCTCAAGAAGGCCTGAAATTTTGTTGATGTAACATTCCTAAGATTATATTAATGCTATTAGCAAAAGCTTCAAACAGAGCCCTTTCCAATACTGAATTTGTGAGGTTTCAGAGCAATAATATAGTCAATGTGACTATGTGGACTTTCAAGCATCAAGTCCCTTACGAGAACCTCCGCTTAAAACTGGCTGAGTGGCTAACTGCTAACTTCTGAATAAAAACAGAAAGTTCTTTTCACTTGTTATGTCTTAACTGCTCTTCAAGACTTTCAAGACTCACATTAAACCTCATCACATTTAACAAATATTTATTGAAGCACCTTGTTTCAGATACTGATCTGAAGGCTGAAGTATTAGCTAAGACAAAATCTCTGTTCTCATATTGATTTCCCTGAGAGGCTGGAGGCAGGAACAGGAACAGGATATGCAGAAAATAAAGCAAGGCAAAGTGGAGACAGAGTTTTTGTGATGGTGCATTGATGTATGATAATGGGATAGTAAAGGTCGCCCCTGCTCCTACCCTGTCTGCTCCTGACTATAGGTACCTCTGTCTATGTTCTGTTCACAATGAACAGATGCTGGATGACTTTGGGGGCTCCTCTGCTAGAATGTGACTCCTTGAGGATAGAGACTATCATCTGGGCATTCCTATCATCCTAAGGAAGTGTGTTGTGCCAACATTGCTGGGTGGAGAGATAAAGCCACATAATAAGTGCTCAAAATTTTTAGAAATAGATTAATACATATTTGAAATTATAAGTTAACAGGAAACTTCAAATATAAAAATTTAACTTTATACTTAGTCTAATATATTATATAAAAAACTAAAACAAGGATAAAAAAATCTAATAAGATACCATAATTGCATTCTAACATTCTTAAATTATGAATGATGGGTTAAGTATAGATTAAATAAACATTTCATATGAGCAATGTATTGTAATTTGCTTTGCATTTGAAAGAACTTTTGAGAGACTGAATTGTGAAAGTATATAAGTGTTTATGGACAGTATCAGCAAGAATTTTGCAAGGAAACTGGGAATAGATAGCATGGATAGAGTGAAAGTACATGGTAAGACTTTGTAGAGGTAGGTCTATTGGTTTAGTTGTACAGGTGTTTCTTTTACTAATTAAAGACAGAAACAAGTTTCAGGATAGTGGCATTTTATTACGAAAAACCAAATCATGTTGCTGTTAACTTCACTGAAGGCAAAAAAGGCAAAATTAGAAATTGATAAGGGATGTTTTTGTTTATCTTATTCTTTAAACTCCCATGTTTACAAGTTCTTTTCACAAATTTTAGGGATTTTAAAAAACTAAAATTCCCTAATAATGATCAAATTTATTCTTGCTAATTTATTTTGCTTTCCCCCCCCCCAAATGAAATATATAATGCAATTACAGAAAGTTTAGGAAATTGAAAAAACATATGTGTATATATACCATACATAGAGATTATACATAACTCTACTATTCCAAGACAACCACTACTCTGAGTATAATTTTGTTCAAATCTATTAACTGCTTTAATTCACTTATAAATATTTCCCATATTACATCTTTCATAATGATTTTTATCACAGCTGTATAACATTTCACCCACAGATGGATGATAATTTATTTTACCATTCTCTTATTGGTGGATATTGAGGTAGTTCCTAGCTTTTTATTATTATAATAATGCTGCAGTAATCATTTCTCAGCAATTCACTTATTTTCTTTGCTTTTTCCTTAGGAGAGATGAACAACTATAGGATTATTGGTTTAAAGGGTATGAACACTTAAGGCTTGGGAAAAAACTGGAAGCATCACATCAATTTACACTGCCATTAGCAATGTGTAAGAGTACTCATACCACTGCATCTTGGACAGCATAAGCATTACCATTTAATTTCCCTCCATTAATGCACAAACTTAACACTGCACTTAATTGTTTCAATTTGCATTTGATTATTACCAGAGTTCAATACTTCTCTCTAATTTTTAGTTAAGAAAGATGACACTGCTACTTCAGCAAGAAACCATACTGAGCATAAGTCAATGGTTCAAGGCTGTAAAAATAAAATAAAAAAGAGAAGCTTTAAGAAAGTTAATTCAATCATGACATGAGTAATGGTTATTGTGCTCCATGGTAATTAGGCATTAATAGCAAGCAGTTCATGTAAGTGACTATTATTACTATTACTTAGACATAGCCAGATGAAGCATTCTTATATTATGGGAGGGAGTGGGGAGAAGGAGAAGTTGGACCAAGTAGAGCTATAAACTCTTCTTATGCCCTCATAAAGTTCCCTTGATCTATTATAACACCAGATGTGATCCAGTAGGTAAGTGTTCTTTCTTTCTTAGCTCTACTCAGCCTCTATATAAACTTCGCACCTAGTAAAGATAATAAACACTGTAAATTTAGTTTGGCTGAGGGTGGGCTAGAATTTACTGAGAATAAAAAATGAGGTCAAGTCAGATAGTATTCACAGAAATGGCCACCAAATCTTTAGTCTTTTCTCTCCATGACTATTCCTCTAGCTAAGAATCTAGGTTTTCAGTGAGACTGCTGAAAAACTTTTAACTCTGATCTATTGCCATCTCCTTTCTGAGAAAAGAAAGGACTTGAGGCAACATCATTTCTCTAGTCAACCTTACTAACAATGGAGAAGTGATCTGGAAACAGGATTTAAGACACTTCCCTCTGCCCCAAATTCTTCTCCCCAACATTGTCTAAATTTCCATGAATCAATTATTCTTTGATATTTCTAGTTAGGTAATTCTGAGATTAAAGAAGAAAGGTGAGGGTGTGAAGGGTAACAGTAAACACACACACACACACACACACACATACACACACATACATACACACACACACACACACAAACACACACACACACACTCTACATGATTAAATTACCAGCCTGGTTTTATAGTTTTGAAATACTTAATTCTAAAGCATGCAAAGTATAAAAAGAAGAATTCCTATATGGAGAGGGCACAGGGGTAAGCAAAATGAGTTAAGTCATTTTGGGTTGCTTTAAATGTGCATAGCTAAGGACACTAGACTACTGAAAATAGGGAAGAAAGAGGTCATAAAAATTTATGTTTTTATAGACCTTAGGAGTTTACAAAGCGTATTTCTACCAATCATATTCCTCAATCCTCACAACAACCCTGTACTGAAAAGCTGAGACCAGAGATATTAAGTAACTTACCCAAAGTCAAACAGGTAGTAAGTGGCAGAGCCAGGACTCGACCCGGTTCTTCTGATTCCTCCTGTGCATGTCCAGCTCCGCTGGAGCTGAAGCAGGGCAAAAAGGAGGGGGAAGTAATTGCCCAAGACCAGCCCTGCCCTCTCCCCTTCTTTCAAAGGCCAAGCAGCCCGACATTTACTCTCTCAGGGACCCCTTCCATCAAGTTCTTTCAGGATAAAGTATACAGCATCTGAAAATGTTTCTCAGCCTTGGGCCCAAGAATGGCAGTAAGTAGTAAACAATTCCAGAGTATTCTGGCTGTACTTTGCCACTTATGTGAAATTTATTGAAATCTCAAAGCATAATATTTCTCATTTCAGAAAGTTAAACTTATTTTTATAATTGATATTACTTAAAGTAATTTAAGAAAGGTGAGGGTGTGAAGGGGTAACAGTAAAACTCTGAAATTATACTATTAAAAAAATTATTTTGAAAAATGTCTAAGAACCAAAATACTAAATCTAACCTTTAACTTATTCTGTGGCCTTTTTTTCTATCTGAATCATCTTCCCTCAGTGATTATTTTCATGAAAGCTATTATAATCATTAAAAATATACAGAAAAATCAGTCTTTTCATAGCCAATTTTAAATATTTTCAACAAGTTAAAGGAAAATTTATGCATTTTCTTGAGATGTCTTTTTTGAGATGTAAATTTATATTTATTTCTAAATTATATCTAAAATGCTTTTGTTGTTGTTGTGTGTTTTTTGTTAATCCTCAACTGAAGATACTTTCTCCATTGATTATTTTAGAAAAAATGGAAGGGAGGAAAGGAGAAGGAAAGAGAGAGAGAGCAAAAAAAATCGATGTGAGAGAGACACATCGATTGGCTGCCTCCTGTATGCATCCCTACCAAGGCCAGGAATTGGATGTGTAACCCAAGTATGTGCTCATCACTGGGATTCGAATCTGAGACCTTTTGGTGAGCAGCCCAGTGCTCTATCCAGAGAGTCATACTAGCCAGGGCTAGAATGTTTTTAATGTAACCACCTATGATTAACTTTCTATAATAAAATTTAGAGTTTCCAATCTCTAGTTTCTTGAAAATTCCTTAATTTTTCTTAGGGAATTATATATTTTAATTTCTCATCTTAACTAAGTTTAATGAGAATTTTTTTTCTTGTCTTTGCTTATTTCCTAAGAATATGAGGATACAATTTAAGTGGACTGAGCATATGACTAGCAATTTTATCATTTCTAGATCTTTTTGTAATCAATTCCAATACTCCTCAGTCTCTAATAGTCTTTCCACCTATGAGAACTACTTTCAATAGGGCCAAGTGCTAAGTAAGCATTAACACTAATCAGGGCATATAAAAGATCAAGCAGAATATCAACTTATTTCTACCAAAAGCTTTTAGAGGCTTTTAGAGTTCTGAACTTTAAAAGATGCTCTGTTTAACCAGACTTTACGCATTCATTCTATCTGAGGTGGGACATGTCTAACTATAGCTAAAAGCCTATTAAAACCTTTACAATAAAAAGAAGGTAAACAGACAAAGCATAAAATCAAATAAAAGAGAAAAAGGGAAAAGAGGAGCAACCTAGATAATAAGGAAAAAGAAAGGAAGAGCAGGGGGTAAAACAGAAGAAAGAGTTTACCTAGAACAGATAACATTTTTTGAATACACTAATACAAACTTTTGATATGTTTCCCTTTTCCCTTTAAGATTTTAATTCTATATTTTAAAAATCTAAGTCTAACATTCTTTAGGTACTGATGTTTAAATCCAGGAATCCCTGATAATAAAATTTACATTATCTGATCACCTTAGGAGGAAACAATATATTAGTGTACTTTCCCCCACATTATTTAAGATTTATTTACTTAAATCTTTTCAAGATAAAATCTCTTTATATTCTTGTAAATAACTCATTGAATGGCACAAAAAATGGTTACAAACATTTAAAAAAAATACAAGTCCATAAATGTTAGAATATGAGCCATACAGAAAATGAATTAAACTGACTTCTAATATTGTACTTTGTATAATAAGCTTGTTGTTAAGCGTAACCAAAATGGTTTACCCTAATTTCCTAATCACATGATCTGGGGAAAATGAGATACTTTAGTCAAGACAAAAATGCCAATAAAAGGTTGTTAAAGTTAATACTAGTTTTGAAAAGTCAATGTTAGCCTTTCCCACTTACTTCCCTCACATGATCACGTTCACTTCACATGCATAATAAAACTGTATCAAGAAGCTCACCAACAACAGTTCCCAGACTGGAACCACCACAGTTTCATGGAGGCCTTATTGCTAAGGATTAGGTGGCTTCTAGAAGGAAGAAAATATATCTTCTACTTCTCTTGTATCCTTTTAATTCCCTAGGTATATAGGCCAATCTATTTTCCAAAGTAGCTTTGTTACAAAAAGCTTTAAAAACATTTGTTGAAAAACCATATTAAACTGTCATACTAGAGTTTGCTGCCTGAGGAACTCATTAGTACTAATGGTAACCACCAGGACGACATCTATCATTCATTAGTAACTGACCTTCTTCCAGTGTTTCTGCTACCAAACCAGTTCACGTGCTCCTTTAAAATTCTGATTCTCTCAAGCATTAAAAGAGATGGAACTTATAGTATTTATCTACTGCTTATTTAGAGAACTTCATTGTACTTTCACTGGCTATTATCCAGCCATAAATTCTGCCCTTGTTTATAATTATAAGTGTTTGGAGAGGACTTGCTTCTTAAAATAAGAATGCCTTTCCCCTACAGAATTCTTAAGTAAACTCCAGAATTGGACCCAAGATTATTAATTCATTTGACCTAACAACTGTTAAGTCATATAACAACTTTTGTTTTGCCAGAAAAACAAGAATAGGAGATTCAGAGAAGCTATGTATAGGAATCTGTTTTCTAGATCTTTAACAAATTAAAATAAGGCTCAGAAGACACTCTTCTATTAGAAAAAGAGCTAATGATGAAATAAAATAGTACTTCTGGTCTTCTCAGAGTTTTGTTTTTTGTGTTTTTTGTTTTTTTTTTTCTCATTTAAGAATGCCCACATATCCAGAAGCATTAATTTGTTTTGATACTTTCTTTTGATTTAGTAGTCAATGCCAGCTTAATAGAAAAAGGGATTTCAGATTTTGTCTTAGACTAGATCATTGGAGCATAACAACTACAAAACCACAAATGATGAAAATGTCTTATTGCTGGACCATATAAATACTCTATGGGTTATGAGGTGAGAATTTCAAAAGAGAACAGCAATATTATAAAAGCTATGGTGGGAGGCTTCATAAAGGCCTATTTCTAAAAGTTAATAAATACAAAGTTTCCAGAACTAGAGTTAAAATGAAAAGACAGGTGAGTTGTATATTTTATCTTACATGTAAGATAAAATCTTAATTTTATGATTCTGTAATAAAACACTATTACTAGTAGCAAAAGTTCTCAGAAGGGATATTAAATTTCAGGAATATATTTTGTCCTCTATTCACAGAAAGGTAAAGACTCTTGGGACATGTGTGATGAGAAATTAATTTTATATACTAGTATTTAGTCTCTATTTATAACATAAAAGATATTATTATGTTATTAATAAGAGGTCTGGAACATCTAAAATTATATATTTTACAGATAAATCTCCACTCTATTTTAAAGCTGGGACATTTGAAAACTAGAAAAAAGATAGATAAGACTTTCTGAAGTACCTCTGGTAGATTTTCTGTAACAGGTTCTATATAGGGGGGTGGGGGGTGAGTTCCATGAACAAATAAGTCTGTGGAGCAATATCCACTATATATCTCTCTCTGAGATTTAAAATACATATTAATCTATTTCTGGAATCAAAAGCATACTTAACTTTTTTAACCAAGCACTTTTCAAAATGTTCCCAGAAGACTTTACAAAGCCCTGAGCTACATAGACAAGGCATGGAAAAATACATCCAAAAAGGAATGATTTTTGTATTCTTATGATGATCAAAGTTGTTTAACTGTAACCTCTTCATTATGTAACTCTTGATAAACTATATGTGTGTTGTTGCTTTTTAAGGCAAATAAAATGTACTCACTGTTGCAGCACTTCCTTCCCTTCTGAATGGAGCTCTCAGCCAATGACAGGCCACTAAGGGAGTTTTTCAAGCCAAGGTGTAAAACTCTTCCCAGTAATTTCCAAGTTTAATGGAATTGTAAGTTCTGTAACATCAGAAAGTTTCTCACAAGGAGACAGGCCAACTCCACTCTTTTCCTAGAGGAGTCATAGTGAAGCCTACTGCACATTATTCTAGAATAAATAGCATAGGTCCAATAAAGTTCAGGAAATTAGGGTCAGTAGGAAGAGAAGTCCATATACATCAAGAGATGCCACCCACTAGAGGTAAAAAAAGAAAATAAAGCAAAAAATAAAACAAAACAAAACACACAAACGAACAAAAATCCCCACAATTATGTTTAGGAAATAGAATAAAAACAGAGAGATAATTAATAAATAAGATGAAAGAAAGTATACATACAGAAAAGTAGTACTAAGTATAGACACATAGATGACCATGTAAGATTAAAAAGGAGAATGGAGAACTACAGTATGCAATCAAATTTTAGTCCTTCACCAACAAGGTTCACAATCCCCGACTTTAGGAAAGGGAAAGTGGGACGTGAAAGGAAATAAAATCTATCATGCAATAAGCAACATTATCTTTCTGCTTTTTCAGGTGCAGATGGAAGAGGCTCAGAAATTCACTAGAAACTAATACAGAGTTGTTTTTGTTATTGGTTTTTTGTGTGTGTTTTTTTTTTTAATTTAAGAAGGTTGCCTCTTCAGATTTATACAAATCTTTAAAATATATTGACATGAGTGTCTAGTCAAGGCACATACCCAATATAAAATTAACTTCTTTGGGAACAGAAATAAACAAAACAAAAATATTCCTCAGATTCATTTGTTTTACTACTTTATTTCCTGTGCAATAAGTATATATAAAATTCAGTGCAGTTTGAAATTATAGCTTTAAAAGTCCTGATAAGTAAAGTAAATAAAAAAACAAAGTTTACACTTAGAAAAGAACAAACCCTGGGTCTGTTGAATCAAG